AGAGCTTGATGTAACGCCCGCCGATGTTGACCCGAAGACCTACCAACCGTCAAGAGCTTGATGTAACGCCCGCCGATGTTGACCCGAAGACCTACCTTACCGTCAATTGATGTAACGCCCGCCGATGTTGACCCGAAGACCTACCATACCGTCATTTGATGTAACGCCCGCCGATGTTGACCCGAAGACCTACCAACCGTCAAGAGCTTGATGTAACGCCCGCCGATGTTGACCGCCTACCAACCGTCAAGAGCTTGACCCCACCGATGTTGACCCGAAGACCTACCTTACCGTCAATTGATGTAACGGCCGCCGATGTTGACCCACAGACCTACCATACCGTCAATTGATGTAACGCCCGCCGATGTTGACCCGAAGACCTACCTTACCGTCAATTGATGTAACGCCCGCCGATGTTGACCCGAAGACCTACCAACCGTCAAGAGCTTGATGTAACGCCCGCCGATGTTGACCCGAAGACCTATCAACCGTCAAGAGCTTGATGAAACGCCCGCCGATGTTGAAGCGTGGATTTCCGGACTAAGGTGCCCAAACAACTGGTTTATCTGGAGTATTCTGCATCAGTGGCTTATCCCCATCTTCATCTTTCGCTGCGCAGTCAAGAGGAACAATCCACGTGCCATGCTCACTGCCAGGGACACGGCTTCAACACTGTTCTATGGTACCAACGCCACAACATATATGGAGCTGATGTTCTGAGAAAACAGAATGCGTATGAGAGCTCCCCGTGTAGAGGTGCTGTCGTTGAGTGGACGTACCAGGAAAGGGGAAGGTGGTGACTTCATCCTTGAAGGCCGTAACCGTAGAGTTAGGATGTGGGTCCCCCGAGGCGTTCCAACGGAGCACACGTGGCTCAGGAGTTGTCGTAATCTCGACAGAATGGAAAAGGTAACTATAACTATAACATAATCCATTTGGATCATCAAATTCAATACAACATACTGAATAAATAACTGCTACCACCATAATAAATGTTATCGCGGTATAATTGCTCAAATTATTTTTTTTAAACTGCGTAATTTGTTGTTGGATATAAATATATTATTATCTCACCATTTGTAAGGTGGGGAGCGGCGGTGTAGAGGTTACGCGTTCGGATTTGTAAAGACTTTGGTTCAGAGTCTGAATCCAGACTCTGTGGAAATTAATTTTTTCAAAGATTTTTATCCACATGACGTTGATGCTATAATTCAACATACAGTCTGAGTCAAAATCTCCCCAATGAATTGCACTCTAACTCAAAAACAAATTATCGTAAATGACTCGAACCAACGCCAAAGTAAATAGGAAAAATACACCAACTCCGCAGAATTTTGTTAGAATTTTTGTCCTCAAAATATAAAGTTGTTTAACAAACCATCATTGTTTTCATTCGATATTTCAAGATTTGTGACAAGGGTGTAGAGACAGCTCAGGAAACAGCCAGGTAAGCGAGAGGCACGTGCGATGTTGATTTCATCGGTAGGGGATGGTATCAAAAGTCATCACACTGTGATTCTGAATCGGACATGGACACGCTGCTGTCAGTCATCAGAGAGCACTCGTATGATGACAGGACTGACAGTCGCCTGTTGCAAACCGCTTTAAAGCCAGTACTGATGCTCCACAGCATTTCCAATTTCTCAACTGATTTTTGCCATGTGTCTTGTGAAATCTTAGCCATGGATTCGTGGACTAGATTTTGAACGTCTGTCATTTTAAACGTTGTGTTATTCCGGGCAATGTCAGATTTGATCATACCCCAGATCAGTTCAATCGCAATGATAAGAAGGCAAACGTAACACATCATGACCTTGTGATTTCAGGTAGAGGTCTGTTTTATACACAGGTGCTCTATTGTTGATTTTTATGATTTCTTTAAGTCTTGGTTTTGTTGTGTTTTGTGGAAATGGTAGATTATGGTTTCCTAACCACGCTATGTCTCCCTTCCTTGAATTTGAAGTTGGGGCTTTCGTATCAGGATGCTGGACACTATGATGGGGAGCAATGTCCATGACAATTAAGCTCTTTGATGGCAACGTCGGTACCAGTTGTTTTTGTACCCATTCCATAAAAACCTGTCCTTTCATTTCAGTTGTCTTTGGCTTTAGCCCTAAACGCAAGAGAACACCCAGGTAAATATCACACAGATTTACAACCTGCATGAAGCACAATGAGTCGCTCTCCTTTGCTTAAAGGCAGTCTCTTCTGGAACATGTCTCTTCAGTGCTAGCAACCTATTGTGTTTCTGCAGTGTGGCATGCATTTACCCAAGTCTCATCAAGATAAACAGGCTCAAACCCCTCTTTTGACGTATGGTGCGTAAATAATTATTTCTCATTCGCACAATATCTGATCTTTCACATAGAACACGTCTCACTTCCCCGCCAACTTTAGTGTACCGAAATCCGAACTTATGAAGCAATTTCCAAAGTTGGTAATTAAATATTGAGAGGGAATGTTAAGTTTTCATTTCTTTTTGCACGATAATCCCCAATCAATTGTCAAACAGTTCTGTGCTAATTATGATATCATTGGATTTTGTGGGTAATTCGTGCTACGTGTAGATGACTTTCGTGATTTTCTGCCAGGATATCATACTGTAAACTGTGTCAGGAAGAAACTGCATAGCTTAGGTCGCTACAGCGGCGGTATTACTGTTTTCATAAGTGATTATCTCGTGAACAATAATATTGTAAAACAGCTCTATGTATATTTTGAAAACTGTGTGGTCCTGTTGTTGATAACATCTGTATTCGCTTGGGATCAGGACACTGTACTTGTGTTTACATATCTATCACCTGAAAACTCGCCCATATACAATCAGACTGGCACTTCTGATCACCCAAATAAACATGTCTTATTTAGTGGTGACCTTAATGCAAGAATCAAAGACTTTTAAGACTATATACCTTCTGATAACTTAGTAGACTTTGTCCAGTGCCTAGATTTTCGAAGCTCTCTTAGCGCTAAGATAGTCGTAAGTTAATGTTAACGTATGGCATTTACGACTATCTTAGCGCTAAGAGAGCTTCGAAAATCTAGGCCCAGGACTCTGATTCTTAGCGATGATTTTGATTTGCCAAGAAAATCTAAAGACAATTTAGTTTATAACAATTATGGTGTTAAGATAGTGGAAATGTGTCTCATAGTGTTCTCACCCTTAATGGCAGGATGTTTAAGGATAAAAATGGTGAATTTACATGTATTACTCATAACGGGTGTAGTGTTGTTGACTATATGATTGCCTCATCTTCTCTTTTTCCTCACACAGATTTTGGAGTAGGTACACTTGACATGTCCTGTCACTTTCCACTACACTGTTCACTTGAGATCAACAGTCATAAACAAAGCTCTGACCAGGTATCCACATCCTCTCATACACACAACATCCCCGATGAACCTAACACAGTAGACCGCCTCCGTGGTGTAGTGGTTAGAGCGTCCGCCCGGAGAGCGGAAGGTCGCGGGTTCGATCCCCGACCGCGTCATACCAAAAGACGTTAAAATATGGTACATGTTGGTCCCTGCCTGACGCTCGGCATTAATGGGTACAACAAGGGCTGGTCGGCTCGGAGTCAGTATAATGTGTCTGAGTGGGGTATTCATGCTTCACTGCGGCATGGTATCTCAGTGGGCTAGCACTATCAAACCAGCTTCAGTCTGGGCTAGTGCAAGCAGCCGCACATACACATACACACGCATCAAGTCGTCATATGAGCTAAATATTCTCAAGTACGACGTAAAACCAAATCTCACCTCACCTAACACAGTAAAAACAGAAACAACTAAATGGTTTAAGTTTTTATGGAATAAGGACACTGACAATAATTTCATTACAAACTTCACCAACACCTATAATAATGTTTGTCCAACTCTTATCAACATGATAAATAGTAACATTGACAGGGCTATACAATATTTAGTAAGCCTGTTCTACCAAACTGCAGAACACACGAAGAGACTACTCTGGGGTTATGAAAACAAAGAAATATTACCCAACCACCCTGGTGGGACAATGAACTGGACAACATTAAACAACAGAAATACACAGCATTAAGGGCACATAGAGACAATAAAATGGGCATTTCTCTGTTCAGAAATCTACGATCCGTCTTCAAGAAAACGTTTTTAAAAAAAGAAGAAGAGTACTTTGGGAAACAGAAAGATAGACTAGTAGAGGCAAGAAAGGATCTTCAATTATTTTTGAAAACACTTAAGGAAAACCGGAGTTCACAGGGTTTATCTAACAGATGAACAGTGGGTAACACTTTGTAGAGCTCCTCAGTACAGATACTTAAACAGACTACACCTCCCACTGTAGTCCTTCCAACATGGACTCCTCATGTATACTAAACAGACCAATAACAGAACAGGAAATATTAGTCAGTATTTCAAACTTACAAACCAACAAGACACCTGGACCAGATGGGTTTGCCACAGAGTTTTAAAGCAATAAAACATAAGATTATCAAACCTCTTATATTTCTTTTTAATAATATTTTGAATATAGGATACTTACCAAACAGCTGGGGCAAGAGCATCATACACCCTTTACATAAATCAGGAAATAAACATGACACAAACAATTACAGAGGCATTTCAATTATTGACACTCTGTAGGATTTTTACCTCGGTTCTTAACAAAAGGCTACAAAATTGGTGTGATGAAAATAACATATTAAATGAGGCCCAGGCAGTTTTTAGAGCTGGTTACTCCACTGTGGATCAAATGTTTTGTTCTCCAGGCTGCTATTCCAAAGTATTGCTGCAAAAAGAAGGGAAGATTCTACTGTCTCTTCATAGATTTTTCGAAGGCATTTGATACAATTAGACATGATGTTTTTTAGCCTCTTTACATAGGGCGGGAGTATCTGGCAAGTTTTATAATATACTGAACTACATAAAAAACGCAAGTTTTTCAAAATTAATAAATATTCGACAGAACATTGGTAAATATTATAGTGTAACTACACATTGGTTACCTTTGTTGTGAAAAAACAGTTTGTTAATGTTCAGGTTCTGTTTGGTGATTTCTCTTGGATATTGCACATCGCCAAAACGCAGCAATTGAATTGCCCGTGGGATGTGGTTGGAGAAGTATTTCATGAAAATCATGATGCACATTTTGTCACGGACACGTAGGGTATAAAAATGAACTCAAATCAGTTTGAAATCACTCCCGAAAAACGCCCACCAAGAATGCCAAGGTTACCGACGCGACAGAGGGAACAAGCCATCGGCCGTCTTGAAGCTGGACAGAGTGTTGCAGATGTTGCCAATGCATTCCATGTGCACATAACGACCATCTACCGTCTTCAGGAACGTTTTGCTGCTACACAGACCACTGCTGACCGCCAACGTCTTGGACGTCCGAGAGTCACAACACCACGGCACAAGATCGACACATTCAACGTTCGCACATCGGGGATCGATTCATATCTGCCAACGAGACTGTCCGACAGACTATTGGACGTCACAACCGAACAATAAGCGGAGATACAGTTCGGCGCAGACTCAGAGCAGTCCACCTCCGTTGTCGTCGTCCAGCTCGACGTCCTATCCTCACACCGAGACATCGTCAGAATCGCCTGCAGTGGGCTACGTTGCATCGAACCTGGCGTCAACAACAGTAGAGACTGGTATTGTTCTCTGATGAAAGTCGGGTTTGCATTCGTCATGCTGACGGCTGAGTTCGAATATGGCGAAGGCGAGGTGAACGCTTTGCTGACGAATGTGTAATGGAAGTTGATGCATGGGGAGGTCCGAGCGTTATGGTACAGGCAGCGATTGGCCTGAATCAGAGATTAGGGCCAGTATTCTTCCAGAATATTGGGCCAGGTCGGGGAAATGGAGTCACTGCCCAACGTTATATCGACCAGATCCTCCGACCCCAGGTTGTGCCATTATTCGTCCGACACCAGCAACACATTTTCCAGCAAGATAATGCCAGGCCCCACACTGCTAGAGTCACTCAGGCATTTTTCCAGCAGCACAACATCCGACTACTGCCATGGCCTGCTGTCAGTCCCGATTTAAACCCGATCGAACATTTTTGGGACGAGCTGCAGAGACGACTGAATGAAGTCCGACAACTGCAGCAGAACTCCAGGCAGCCATCATCCGGACATGTGCGGCAATCCCTAGGGCCTTTGTCAACCGTCTGGTTCACTCCATGTTCAGGCGGTGCACAGCTGTAGTGAATGCACGAGGTGGACATGCGCTTCTGACTTGTTGGATCAATTTCGATTTTGTCTTCAATGCAAAGTAAACCAACAATGTGTCCATGCATTGACTGACATGTCCCAATAATCATGCAATAAGTGTTGATTGTTAATATGTACCTATTTTCATGCATTATCTGTCAAAAGTCAAGTGTTTATAAATCTGGATTTTGACTGGCGGCTCAGTATATTATTGCATCAATGCATTCCAATCTTTCAGCCTGTGTCAGAACTAAACATGGCCTTTCATCTTGTTTTAAATGTTCTGTAGGTACAAGGCAGGGATGTATTCTAAGCCCACAGATGTTTCTTATATTTATTGACGATCTGTATAAGAAATTGGAATTGGAGGGAGGTCAAGGAATCTTCATTAATCAATTTTTCTCGAATTTATGTGCACTTATGTTTGCAGATGATATTTCAGCACTATCTGGTACATGAAATTTGCTTCAAAAGAAGTTAAATGTTTTACAAAGCTTTCGTAACAGTACAGGGATGAAAGTTAACTTAAACAAAACCAATATTGTTTTTAGAAATGAGGGGCCTCTTCGTTATTGTGAGAAATGGTCCTATAATGGTTCCCACGTTGAAGGGGCGGTGGGGTAGTCTAGTGGTTAAAGCGTTGGCTCGTCACGCCGAAGACCCGGGTTCGAATCCCCATTTGGGTACAATGTGTGAAGCCCATTTCTGGTGTCCCCCGCCGTGATGTTGCTGGAATATTGCTAAAAGCGGCGTAAAACCAAACTCAGTCAGTCAGTCCCCCGTTGAAACGGTTCCTTTTTATAGGTATTTAGGATTAGTTTTCACACCCAAGCTTGCCTGGAGTAAAGCCTAGACATGTCTTGCATCTCTGGCCTCTAAAGCTATAATGTCTTTAAATGGTTTCCAGAGGAAAATTGGTAACATAGTTTTCACTGATCTATTTAATATTGTTGATTCAATGGTTGTGCCTATTCTTTAATTTGTTATGGCTCTGAAATCTGGGGAACATGTCACTCCAAAATAAGAGGCTGTGCAAATTAAATTTTGTAAACAATACTTAAGGGTGAAAAAAAAATACATTAAAAGGTATGGTTCTTGGAGAGTGTGGCAGACTCCCATTACAGCATTTGTACATTTCAAGAGTGATCAAATTTTGGTGTAGACTTCTAAATACGCCAGAAAATAGACTTCCACATCAATGTTAAGATCACTAGATAGCTTAGGCTATAATACCTGGGTAACAAAAGTTAGGCACATCCTGTTTCAAGATGGATTTGGTAATGCTTGGCTAAGCCAAGAAATTGGAAGTGTGGAATATTTTGTGCATCTGTTCAAGCTAAGGCTAGGTGATAACTTAAAACACTTTTGGTTCTCATCAATTAATGAATCTCCTAAATGTATAACTTACAAGGAGATCAAAACTTTCTTAAATGTTGAAAGATATGTGTTGTGATATCCCTATGCATTTTAGAATTGCTATATCAAGGTTTAGATGCAGTAATTTTAACAAAGTTCACTAAAGAACCACTTACTCATTACTCTGTCGTAAATCTTTTGCAAAGCGAAAATGATGCTGTCATATACAATGTTGGTCTATACTTATACCATGTACAGAAATTGATAAACTCCAGGACAGAGCTGCAAAGTTGTTTTGCGCACCCACTAAACACAATGTCAGTCTGATTGTATTATGGGCGAGGGCCTCTTTAATGAATAAATACTGTCTGCCATTTCTTTTTGAAAAATGCGTAAGGATAAGTGTCTATTCTTGCTATATAAACCTATTGTGTTCTTGACAAGTTGTTTTTGAAACGAATCAATTTTTCAATTTTCATGGCTTTTGATACGCCCCCCTCCTGGGCGCTCCGGTTTGCAGATGGAGTTTGGCGTTGTTTTAATAATGTTTTCAATTGCTGCTCTGGAACCCCAACAGCACAAGATGTACGTTTAAAAATTGTGTCAAATGCATAAAATGGTCTGCCAGTTGAGTTTCAGACTTGAAGTCGTAGAGCTTGTAAACTAAAGCTATAACATCAGCAGTAAACTTCATTGTGTAAGATGAATCAATTACTCACTCAGTAGGATAAACAGTCACGTGACAAACTTCCCCGTGCCTCTCACTTACCTGGCTGCTACCTGAGCTGTCGCTAATCCCTTTTCACAAATCTTAAAATATCGAATGAAAATAATGGTTTTGTTAAACAACGTTTTATTTTGTTTACAAAAATCATAACAAAATTCTGCAGAGTGGGTGTGTTTTCCTATTTCCTTTGGCGTTGGTTTGAGTCATTTACGATTATTTGTTTTTGAGTTTGGGTCAAAATCTCCCCAATGAATTGCACTCTAACAGACTGTACGTATTTTGTTCTGATTTCTATGTTAAACACTTATGGGATGATTGTTGTGAACTGGACAGTAGAATGACATGTATTTAAGATGGATGATGCACTTTACATGAATGCCTAGGCATGTCAAATGGACCCAATAATCACAGTTGCTCTTATGGCTTTGCCATCCTATCCAGTACTTGTGGAGGTTTCTGTCATGATCAGCCTTTCTGTCGTATGTGATGCTGCACAGACGACGTCATCCCTGTCCATAGTTGTGGTTTTGGTGTGGCTTCGTTTCCTTGTTGTCATGTGACAAGTGCCACTGGTCTCCTTATTAGGATTGATGGTTGTGCTGGTGCTGGTGCTGGACTTAGTAGAAGAACTGGAGTGTTACTGGTGCTAATGCTTGTGTTGGTAATGCAATGTGGGTTAGCAGTGGCGCTGGTGGTAGTTATCGTCTCATTACTAGATATTGGGGGGGGTGAACAGTTTGAGTAGATGTTAGTGTGACGGTTGATGTAACTTGGGTTTTAGTAACAGTCGGACACTTGGTAGTAGAGACAGTTTGAGTGGGTGGCATTAGATTTTGAGGTGGCATTAGATTTTTGAGGTGGCATTAGATTTTGAGGTGGCATTAGATTTTTGAGGTGGCATTAGATTTTGAGGTGGCATTAGATTTTGAGGTGGCATTAGATTTTGAGGTGGCATTAGATTTTTGAGGTGGCATTAGATTTTGAGGTCGCATTAGATTTTTGAGGTGGCATTAGATTTTGAGGTGGCATTAGATTTTTGAGGTGGCATTAGATTTTGAGGTGGGATTTTGAGGTGGCATTAGATTTTGAGGTGGCATTAGATTTTGAGGTGGCATTAGATTTTGAGGTGGCATTAGATTTTGAGGTGGCATTAGATTTTGAGGTGGCATTAGATTTTGAGGTGGCATTAGATTTTGAGGTGGCATTAGATTTTGAGGTCGCATTAGATTTTTGAGGTGGGATTAGATTTTGAGGTGGCATTAGATTTTTGAGGTGGCATTAGATTTTGAGGTCGGATTTTGAGGTGGCATTAGATTTTTGAGGTGGGATTAGATTGTGAGGTGGCATTAGATTTTGAGGTGGCATTAGATTTTGAAGTGGCATTAGATGTTGAGGTAGCATTAGATTTTGTGGTGGCATTATATTTTGAGGTGGCGGTGGCATGGTTAGTGTTTTCGTTTTTGTTGTCATAGCTTCCTGCAAGTAAATAACCGAGAGTTATGTGGTGTATCACACACACTAATTTTTGATAACATTGTACCTATACAATTGATAAATGTTCAAATAGACTTGTTGTCCTAATCATTTGGTACTGTATTGTCGTATACGTATGTGATGTTTCTGTATATCGTTGGCATTTGTCATACATACTGGATGATAATTTCCGGTGCAGAACTCCAATGGGGCATTTCCATCCGGTGTTTCGAATTTCACGTTCGCCCTCACTCCCGTCTGGATGTAGATTTCCTGCAACTGGTTATTAATTAGGAGATTAGTTCATCATCTGCAACATGATTTGAATATGTATTCTTTACAGATCAGAAGCAAGGTACTTCAACACTTTTCTTTAGTGAGCGACGATGTTTTTAGCACCACTGATGACTCGTCCTTAGAGGCAGAAATCGCTGGTTTCCGGCATTGGATACGCAAAAGTGGCTACTTGTCATCACCAGATACCATGAAACCACTAACTGGTTTGGACCACGTTGCCTTCGATCCGGTGATGGACAGTTGCGTAGCGCACTGTCGGGGAAATCGGCACACTTATCGGTACGTCATGCAGTTGTTTTAATGTTTTTTATGTGTATATCACCATCACAAGGACGTTTAAATTGCATTCACACTAGCATGTTATAGTATTCCAGTTAACATCTTACCAACATTGCATAGTCATGATCACGTCATCTGCCTGACATCACTTAACCAGCTTCCTATTATTTTGTGTATTGATCATCATATTACGAATGGGTCATGCATTAATTGCTGTTTTGACGTTGGGTTCATTTGTGATTTGATCCAGCACAGCTGACGGTCTGTCTGCCAAGAAGAAACGCCTTGTCCCGCTGTTTGTGCTGCCTAAGCAAAGAACGATTTATGAGCAGCCCCAGCGGAGGACTGCTGCAGAGCTGTCCACCATGGTGACAGAGAAACTGGCCACGTTATCGGTATGTATATTTCGCCAGTTATTTCTAGTGTTGCATGACTGTTTTATCCTTTCGCATTATGTGAACTTATCATGCCCAGTTCATCAAATGTTTCAAAGTTGACAACGCTCTGACACAACGATGGTCGCAGGTTGCAAAAAAGGGCAGTAAACAGAACATCTTACAGTTTGGGCTGCAACTCCAGGAGCTAGAGGGCAATGAGGAAATACTGGGTAATATCCTCTCTACATTTACGTTACAGATTGACCGTGATTAGGAAGGTAATGTCAATCTTTTGGGAGAAAAGGTCTTTGCCTTTCTTTGGGCATCTGGCAGATAGCGTATCTGTCGCGGGCCAGTTGGGTGTGGACCAGTTGTTTCCAATGGTGTTTCATCAACATCAGCACCTGACTCCTGCCCCGTCCATTTCATCCTTGTTTTTTGTCCCTTGGATCCTATGCAACAACTGGATTATATTAATTCACATCTTCAATGATCGGGGCGGAGGGGTAGCCCAGTGGTTCAAGCGTTCGCTCGTCACGCCGATTACCCCGGTTCGATTACCCACATGGGTACAATGTGTGAAGCCCATTTCTGGTGTCCTCCGCCGTGATATTGCTGGACTATTGTTACAAGCGGCGTAACACCATACTCACTCACTCACTCTTCGATGATCACATTTCTTATTTTATTCTAACACAAATGCTATTTCCACACCCTCTGACACCAGATTGACGACATTTGTAGTTCAATTTGTGAGCATTATGAGAGGTGTTTTATGGTCAATTTGGGCTTCCGTAGATTCTACTGACATCGAGGAGTGACTCCTCATTACGTCCCTTTGCGGAAGTTTGTGTCCCGAACCTACCAAACATGATTATTAGTGCGCCTAAACATATGAACTTGAAACCTTTTCACTGCTAATTGTACTCTCATCAATAGGAAGGTCCAAATATTCGCATGCAAATCTGCCAAAGATACAGTAAAACCGTAGTAATTTTAAGCTGAATAGTCGTTTTGTCGTACCATTTCAATCGGGATAGTGAGTGAGTGAGCTTTTTGCAATATTCCAGCAATATCCCGGCGGGGGACACCAGAAATGGTATCCATGTGTGGAATCGAACCCGGGTCTTCGGCGTGACGAGCGAACGCTTTAACCATTAAGCGGCCTTCACACGGCAAACTCAACTTTGACAACACATGTTGTTAAAAAATTAAAAGTTGTCAAACATCTTGTCAAACGTTCGTGTCACTTGAGCGCCCTGTCTCTCGCGATGCGGTCACGTGACAATTTCGTTGACTGCGATTGGATGTTTCTGAACAACAAGAGTTTGACGACACTTCACACGTCAAAGTCGAGTTTGACAACACCGAAAGTTTGATGGAAAAGTTGGTGAGATTAGAGACCGATCTTATTTCTCGACAACAGCCTGACAACTCTGAAAATAGTGTTGGTGGCGAGTTGTTGTAATGTTTACACTCTCAAACTCGAGTTTGACGATATGTGTTGTCAAACTTTAGTTTGCCGTGTGAAGGCCGCTATAGGTTACCCCATTGCCCCCAAACGGGACAGAATACAATTGACTTAAGAATCATGTCGAATAACATTAAACACAAGCACAAGGGACCCGATATTTGCCCCAAACCTAAACAATGACTCAATGTGCACTGGTTTTAGATTTACCTCATTCGTATTAAAAATAACCAGCGAGATTAAACTGTTACCTTTATAACTGTGCAGTGCTTAGCTTGTTTGATGTACCACGGCCGTCTGTCTGCTGACTTACATTGACATCCGGGGAGTCTTTCGTGCCTAGCTTCGCCGCAACTAAGGCACGTGCTTCCTCAAAATCTCGGACGAACACAACACTGAACCATTCGTAACTACTCGTGTCATTCCGGCAAGCCGGGTGGCGTCTCGGGAGTCTTCTTGTAGGTCACGGAAAGAGGCGAGTAGTTACGAATGAACGCAGTACGAGAAAAGTTTCAGATTTCCAAACTTGACTCTGTTCGGCCATACATATTTTCATGTTTTCATCTCCAGCCTCAAGAGAGCGGACAAGCGAATACAATTAATGCTGCTCTTTAAAAAATAATTATAAATAATATTTTTCAACTAATTGTGCAACGTATTTTCAGTATTTTTGTGAACTTGGTAATACAGTCGAGCACCGTTGTGTCGAACTCGGATAACTCGATATCTCGGTTGTCTCGATAGAACATCTCGGTCCCGGCAAAATCCTTCATAATTTATCATTATTTATGCTCTTTTAACTCAATACGGTTGTCTCGATATTTCTAAAAAACTGATTTATGACGCACATCGGTTCGGCTTGCTTCTGAAACATGTTTATTTTTAGATATCGTTTAAACATATTTTATTCCATTCAAGAAGAAAGAAAAAGATTGACAAACAAACCTAATTGGCTTATATTAATGCCGCTCCATAAAACATGTGAAGGTTCACATTTATGCGTAATGTTGTACATTTTTATAATAGTTATAACAAGTTATCTCTGGATAATAACAATATTGGATATCAACAATTTATCTCGGTTTTGTTTCGATATTTAGATATAGATAAGGAGAGAGACAACCAACCTCGTTTGTCGTAAGTGTGAACGTTATTTGCATCACATCGCACAAATTTTCCACAGCAGCGAAAACTGAGAAAAGAAAACTGTCTATCATTTCAAGAATGAAAACTCAAGGCGGACGGAGGACAACTAAAAAAAGGAACCCAAGTTCTATTCCACACACGGGTACAATGTGTGAAGCTCATTTCTCATGTCCCCCTCTCAGTGACATTGCTGGAATATTGCTAAAAGCGGCGTAAAACCATACTCACTCACTCAAGTAAGCACTGAAATACTGCCAAGGCTTGTATTGCCTTTTGCCCGCCTCCGTGGTGTAGTGGTTAGAGCGTCCGCCCGGAGAGCGGAAGGTCGCGGGTTCGATCCCCGACCGCGTCATTCCAAAAGACGTTAAAATATGGTACTTGTTGGTCCCTGCCTGGCCCTCGGCATTAATGGGTACAACAAGGACTGGTCGGCTCGGAGTCAGTATAATGTGTCTGAGTGGGGTATTCATGCTTCACTGCGGCATGGTATCTCAGTGGGCTAGCACTGTAAAACCAGCTTCAGTCTGGGTTAGTACAAGCAGCCGCACATACACATACACACGCATGCACGTCGTCATATGAGCGAAATATTCTCAAGCACGACGTTTAATCCAATTTCACCTCACCTCACTTGTATTGCCTTTTATTACCCACGTGGTCAACGTATGGGTAGTTGCATACTAATCTCGTACATCACACGTGTGTCGTATCGCGTTGACCTGTGTCGTAACGACTTGACCTGATATTCTAACGATTTGATTGGATAACCGATGACCTCTCAATTAGGTCACATTCTGACGTAACTATTTTTTCATTCATAACAAACACGTGAATTCATTCATTCTACAACTTAAATGCATTGTGGGAATGTAAACATCGCGAACGTTGCCGTGTCGCTGTTTAATTGTGAGTCGAACTGAGACATTATATCCGTCGAAAAACATAAACGCAATGTTTCCACCAGTGATGTTAGCCGAATGAAGCAACTGCAAACCAAGAAACGGGGTGCTACGGAGTAGTTTACTGTAGGAGGCTGTACGAGGCGATGACAACCGACATGCATCGTGACGTCGGTTACCAAGGCAGTGACGTCATTACAGTGTGACGTCATGCAAATATTGTACTACAGTACAAAACTCTTCCGCAACCTCTTTATGAAACCGGTTTCGGTTTGAAACCAAAATATTAACAAAAATACGCTATTTTGTCAATTTAATGCATGTAAGACGTGGGTAATAAATAAAATACCACACTCGTTCTCATTACATACGAATTATACGAAACTCGTGACCTTCCTATGTTATCTGACCTCGCTTTCGCTCGGTCAGATACCATAGGAAGGACACTCGTTTCGTATAATTCGTATGTAATGAGACCTCGTGTAGTATTCTCTATTTATGTACGCTTTATGTAGTTGTGAACTTCGCGTGGAGATACCGAAAAGGTGGACGTCTGAAGTCCGTCTGGTAATACCGTTGAAATATTAGTAGGTACATACTGATTCCAAAGGAAGGCAACAAGGTAGGAAAAATAACGGTTTATTAAAAACAATATGTACATTTTAGTGTTGTGTGCCTAATCTGAATAGATGCAGTACCCAGAAAACGTGATGTTTCGGAATGTAAAATATAATCCACATGCATCTCCTGTCTATATTTCCTTGTTGCTGTCTATAACCATTGCTTTGTCCCCTTGCGTCTCGACTTCCGGTTTGAGGTGCGCTCATGAAGACACTGAAAATAGCATAATCGTAGAAGGAAACCAGTCGAGAAATCTCACCTCGAGTCCTAACTGCAAAACAAAGCTTGAAATACGCAAGCGCTGTAAGACAGGTAAACCAGTCTATAGGAAGACTAGAGGATAACAGACCACATCCTATCCCTGTTCTGTTTTGATAAAGCTTTGTTAGGAATGGGTCCTGGGTATTTACCACAGGAGGGAGGAGATTATCTTTAATACTGGGTTCCACAGGACATACCGCTTGGGAGATATCGCAATAGTGAAATTGAATCTCATTGCTCTGCTGAACATTGTGACGTCATCGGTTACCATGACGTCACAATTATATGCTATCACTCATATCTCTGCCACATTCGTCACCACTCGCCCCTTTCCGTAACCTGCAAGAAGACTCGTCCCTCACTCGATGCTTGTTATCATTCGTCACCACTCGCCCCTTTCCGTAACCTGCAACGGTATTCGGCTTGTCCCGGAATTACACGAGTGGGTCACGAATGATCTCTGCCAATGTCAAGCTGTATTTTTCGAACTCAAAACAGGTTATTTTTTGGAAATAAGTAATTTTACGATTAATCGAATTTTTTTCACGTGTCATTTGACAATAATTACATCAACATTAGTCGATAATCTGTTTTAAACTATCATGAGCAGTCCTCTGACTTTTTAAACTGTTATGGACAAGTGTTATATTCGATATCAAAAGGCAATCTGCTGAGATTTGTGAAAACTATTGCTAGATGAGCCAGAGCCACAACATGCTGCTTATAACGTTAGTGGCAGAAGAGTGAGTGAGTTTGGTTTTACGCCGCTTTTAGCAATATTCCAGCAATATCACGGCGGGGGACACCAGAAATGAGCTTCACACAATGTACCCATGTGGGGAATCAAACCCGTGTCTTCGGCGTGACGAGCGAACGCTTTAACCGCTAGGCTACCCCACCGCCCCAGTGACAGAAGAGAGTACTCAATAGGGGGTGTAGTAAATACTCAGTACTCAACGAAGATTGAGATTGGCAGATTGAGATGGCTAATATTATAGTAGCTGCTACCGGGTTCTCATCAAGGGACACAAAAGAATGCATGTTCCAAAGGATATGCAGTAGCTACTCAGTACTCAACAAGATGAGTCATGCGGAAAATAGGATTATCAATAGGAGATGCAGTAGCTACTCAGTACTCAACAAGATCAGTCATGCGGAAAATAGGATTATCAATAGGAGATGCATTAGCTACTCAGTACTCAACAAGATCAGTCATGCGGAAAATAGGATTATCGATAGGAGATGCAGTAGTTACTCAGTACTCAACAAGATCAGTCATGCGGAAAATAGGATTATCAATAGGAGATGCAGTAGCTACTCAGTACTCAACAAGATCAGTCATGCGGAAAATAGGATTATCAATAGGAGATGCATTAGTTACTCAGTACTCAACAAGATCAGTCATGCGGAAAATAGGATTATCAATAGGTGATGCAGTAACTGCTCAGTACTCAACAAGATCAGTCATGCGGAAAATAGGATTATAAATAACAGATGCAGTAGCTATTCAGTACTCAACAAGATCAGTCATGAGGAAAATAGGATTATCAATAGCAGATGCATTAGTTACTCAGTACTCAACAAGATCAGTCATGCGGAAAGTAGGATTGTCAATAGGAGATGCATTAGTTACTCAGTACTCAACAAGATCAGTCATGTGGAAAATAGGATTATCGATAGCAGATGCATTAGTTACTCACTACTCAACAAGTTGAGTCAGGGGCAGAATAGGATTATCAATAGGAGATGCATTAGCTACTCAGTACTCAACAAGATCAGTCATGCAGAAAATAGGATTGTCAATAGGAGATGCATTAGTTACTCAGTACTCAACAAGATCAGTCATGCGGAAAATAGGATTATCAATAGGATGCAGTAGCTCAATAGTCAGGGCAGAATAGGATTATCAATAGGAGATGCATGAGTCATGCAGATCAAATAGGAAAATAGATTATCAATAGGAGATGCAGTAGCTACTCAGTACTCAACAAGATCAGTCATGCAGAAAATAGGATTATCAATAGGAGATGCATTAGCTACTCAGTACTCAACAAGATCAGTCATGTGGAAAATAGGATTATCGATAGCAGATGCATTAGTTACTCACTACTCAACAAGTTGAGTCAGGGGCAGAATAGGATTATCAATAGGAGATGCATTAGCTACTCAGTACTCAACAAGATCAGTCATGCAGAAAATAGGATTGTCAATAGGAGATGCATTAGCTACTCATTACTCAACAAGATCAGTCATGCAGAAAATAGGATTGTCAATAGGAGATGCATTAGTTACTCAGTACTCAACAAGATCAGTCATGTGGAAAATAGGATTATCGATAGCAGATGCATTAGTTACTCACTACTCAACAAGATGAGTCAGGGACAGAATAGGATTATCAATAGGAGATGCATTAGTTACTCAGTACTCAACAAGATCAGTCATGCGGAAAATAGGATTGTCAATAGGTGATGCAGTAGCTATACAGTACTCAACAAGATGAGTCATGCGGAAAATAGGATCATAAATAGCAGATGCATTAGTTATTCACTACTCAACAAGTTGAGTGAGGGGCAGAATAGGATTATCCATAGGAGATGCATTAGCTACTCAGTACTCAACAAGATCAGTCATGCGGAAAATAGGATTGTCAATAGGAGATGCATTAGTTACTCAGTACTCAACAAGATCAGTCATGTGGAAAATAGGATTATCGATAGCAGATGCATTAGTTACTCACTACTCAACAAGTTGAGTCAGGGGCAGAATAGGATTATCAATAGGAGATGCATTAGCTACTCAGTACTCAACAAGATCAGTCATGCAGAAAATAGGATTGTCAATAGGAGATGCATTAGCTACTCAGTACTCAACAAGATCAGTCATGCAGAAAATAGGATTATCAATAGATGCAGTAGTTACTCAGTACTCAACAAGATCAGTCATGCAGAAAATAGGATTATCAATAGGAGATGCAGTAGCTACTCAGTACTCAACAAGATGAGTCATGCGGAAAATAGGATTATCAATAGGAGATGCATTAGCTACTCAGTACTCAACAAGATCAGTCATGCAGAAAATAGGATTGTCAATAGGAGATGCATTAGCTACTCAGTACTCAACAAGATCAGTCATGCAGAAAATAGGATTATCAATAGGAGATGCATTAGTTACTCAGTACTCAACAAGATCAGTCATGCAGAAAATAGGATTATCGATAGGAGATGCAGTAGCTATACGGTACTCAACAAGACCACCCAGAAGATGAGCCAAGGACAGAAGAGGATGCTCACCACCAGATGCAGCAGGTGATTGATGCCCTCATGTCGACGTCTGGGAAGCAGATCCAATCACAGATTTTAACCCTTACTCAAAGCAATGGTTCACCCTACCGCAATTACAAAAGCCCTACTGGTTAATAATGGCTTACGTACTAAAACCATAGTATGCCTCGGTCTGATGGAAAACATAGACATTTTTTATTGACTTTGAGATGGTTCATACCGAAAGATTTACTAATTCATTCTCCTGAATATAATTAAGAATTTATAACATGACAGTTTGAAGCTCCATTATATACGTACGCTAATACAGTAAAATCGGTTATAACGACCGCATCTCACCATACCGTGCTAAGACAATCTGAGGTAGTGTTCCTCGCCGACGCCGATGATGGGTGTTTGCAGGGGAAGTCTGTTTAATATTAAATAGAATGTTTGAAACTGTCATGCACTTTGCAACGTATTTATTTAGGGACCGCTCATAATATCTCGCTGGTGGGGTGGTGTGGGTAATGATGATTTTTATGCAGGAGCATGTACAATGTGAATTCTTCCTCCTCCTCCTCCCTTCCGAAAAGTTATGCACAAAGTAAATGATAACCACCACACCCACACCCACCCCTTAAAATCAACATCATCCCCACCCCCATTGTCCAGCCATAAATCATGAACGGTCCCTTCAAAATGTACATGATTAATAAATGTATTTTTCTCAGAGGGTCGGTCGAAGGTCACTACAATATATTCAAGGGAGATAACTTCTCACAAACTGTCCTGACCTGACTTCAGCGAGATGTATGCTAAGGAGCAAAAGAAACTAATCTCCGTTGACTTTTTCACACTCTTAATTTTCTAGTAAGTAATTCTCCAGCTTCAATTATTTTCTCTGAAAAGTATTTGAATGGCACTTAGAACTCCAAGGATGCTTGTACACTTTGTTATTTTTGTAATTAATTATTTATTTCTGTTAAAATAAAAATACAAAGTCGCATTTCGTGTGTTTATATTGTTTTGTATTTCTTACACACTTCTACCATTCTTCACATTAATTATTACAGACTTTTGCAGGAATGAGTGATAGCTAAATTGGCGTAATCAAATTTAGCAACAATTCTTTGAATATTCAATAACATAATAACAGATCCGATATACTCTCATCTTCCACATTTTCTCCTGACGCATCTACCATTTCATATATGCATCGTGGTATCTATTAATACCCTAACAAAACGTATCATGAAGAATGATGCAGGTTTCATATGGCTACTGCTCCGTGAAAGAAAAACCTATTACAGTCCGTTTGAGTCAGAAACGGACCGATGAATTGCAAATTTTATCATTGTACAAAATTGCCACATCAATATAAATAGTACACATGTTTATCATTTACTAATACCCAACAGCTTTCTTATATTTGAAAATTTTCCGGACTCCACCAAAAGAAACTATCATTAAAATTTTGACACAGTTCACTATTTGTTACGAGGGAGGAGTGCAGAGAAAATGACAGCCAGGTGTGCGAGAAAGGATGGAGACGGCACAGCACAGGCTAATGAATCAAGAACTTGGTGGGCACTTGTGCACGTGCTTCTCTAACACCTGGCTGTCCCTTTCTCTGCACTCCTCCCTCGTAACAAATAGTGAACTGTGTCAACATTTTAATGATAGTTTCTTAAAGAACTTTTTTTGGTGGAGTCCGGAAAATTTTCAAATATAAGAAAGCTGTTGGGTATTAGTAAATGATAAACATGTGTACTATTTATATTGATGTGGCAATTTTGTACAATGATAAAATCTGCAAATTCATCGGTCCGTTTCTGACTCAAACGGACTGTAGTAGAAATATAACTGGAGCGGACCAATTGAAAGGTTCGAACACACGCTCGAAGGTTCCTGGTATGCCCAGGGGAGACAATTACACAGCGACGCCTCAGATCACTGGGCCATCCCTGTGCCCACGAAGTCCAATGAGCAAATGATTTGAGATATACTATTCACAGTTTGCTAAGGATCAAATCATGGCTTCAGCAGAAAACTATGATGTGGGGTCAACTTGGATTGAAATATCTAAGCTTATTGTAAGCATGGGTCCTAGGTTTCAGTGCGTCATTTCATCTTGTGGAACCCATACCTGCTATTGACAGGTGTTGTGTACTTGTCAATGACTCATTCCATGATTTGCAAAATGGTTGATTGGTGCCATGAAAACCATTTTTATGGTTACTCATCTATCAAGTGCAAAAGGTTAGAATAAAGTGACTGTTTGCCTAAAGAGAGATTACCATATCATTTATCCAGTTTTAAATGGATACAATTTCAAATTATGAACCTACGCTTAAGAAAAGTTGTGAACTTTTGTGATCCTTAGCAAAGTGTGAGTAGTATATTTCTTTACAATTTGTTTACAAAGGCCGCATATTAATCAAGTTATCAAATATGTATACTAGGTCGGTGTAACTAGTTTTACCTAGATGTACCCACAAGGACCACTGAACTAGCCATGTTGATATTTGTCCTTACAAATTGTTTAAAATAGTCACAGACTAATCGCAAAAATTATCAAATTCAGTGGGTTTTTGAATAAACCTAACAAAACTCGGTCATAAAATAACAAATTTGAATATTCCCATGTCATTTCCCACTGAATTTATTGACTCCACTCAAAAACCTCAACAGCTGAAATAAGTGTTGCCAAATACTGTCCTTGATACTACTAATAAATAGCACTTCTATATACGTCTGAAAGTGACCTACCGCTGGAACGTCCGAAGCTGGCTCGAGAAGCACCTGCATTGGTTTAACTGTACATACGGGTGACACCGGCATAGGATCTCCTCCATTACACACTGAAGGCATCTGTCCGTGGTCATCAAACAGAGGCGTAGCTGTATGTCTGTCAGAAGGTTCCGATATGTCCCCGGACGTGTTCAATAGGCCCAAGTCAGTAGGTGTGATCGGCGGAATGGACAGTGGATACGGGGGGTAATCCGTTGTATCGCTGGTCGCTCTCTGGAGCGTCTTCTGAATCCAGGGGTACCATTATGGGGATGTTGGTGGGGTATGGTGGTAGATGATGTTGCGCCGTCACCGTCATTGTTGGGTCAGGATCTGGTGCAAAAGCAGAACAGGTATACAGTGCCTTGTCTGGGCCAGTTCATCCTGTTCTCATTTAATGACACCATCTATTTAATTAGATGAAACCTACTTGCACCCAGCGCAGCTTCAGGTAATAATAACCTGGGCCTAGACTTTCGAAGCTCTCTTAGCGCTAAGATAGTCGTAAGTGCCATACATTAACATTAACTTTACGACTATCTTAGCGCTAAGAGTTTCCAAAATCTAGGCCCTTGTTGCACCGGACAAAACAGGTTTCAATTGATGCTCAATATAGAAGTATCTGATGTGCATTTTTTGTACAGAACATTCAGGACATCATTACAATAAAATTATTATGGGCCAAATAGGATCATTTTATCTTACTTAACAATATTTCGGGAACAGTAACATTCATTCAATCACATGTAAGCATCACCTACGAAGATGTAAGTATCTTCCACATTGATAAAAGTATCGAAATTGTAAGTTGCAGCTACGATGATGTAAGTATCTTCTACGCTGAAAGTAAAAAGACCGCCTCCGTGGTGAAGTGGTTAGAGAGTCCGTTCGAAAGGTCGCGGGTTCGATCCCCGACCGCGTCATACCAAAAGACGTTAAACTATGGTACTTGTTGGTCCCTGCCTGGCGATCGGCATTAATGGGTACAACAAGCATTGGTCGGCTCGGAGTCAGTATAATGTGTCTGTGTGGGGTATTCATGCTTCACTGCGGCATGGTATCTCAGTGGGCTAGCACTATAAAACCAGCTTCAGTCTGGGCTAGTACAAGCAGCCGCACATACACATACACACGCATGCACGTCGTCATATGCGCGAAATATTCTCAAGCACGACGTTAAACTCAATTTCACCTCACCTCACCTGAAGGTAAAATGGATTTAGACTGTGGCATTAATACACTTCCTACCCACCTGAATGGGGAACCTCTGTAACCTCTCTGGGACATGGAGGGAACAGACTGTGTATGTCTGGCTGAGGCTCCGCTGAAACGGAGGAGGTTTTATCAGTCATCACTCGACAATATTTATCTCATCGCTACGAGTTTCAAGTGAAATTTAACCTGGGGAAATACAGTACAACCAGAAATTATTGAGAATTTAAAGATTGTAATTTTTTTACAAATGTTCACTCACTACACACGTATTAAATGTGAATATTAGCAGAACATAACTCCAGATTCAAAGACAGATGAACAGTTAGTAATTTGACAAGTCACCATGGGCAGCAATGCAGGCTTCAATGCGGCGGGGCATACTACTGATCAAAGAAGTTAGAAAGTCGTGGTCCATGCTGTTCCAATATCAGACCACCTCTTCTTTCATTTCAGCAATATTTGTCAGATGTTTCTTATTGACACTTTCCTTCATAAGTCCCCAAACATTTTCTATTGGATTTAGGTCAGGGCTATAGCTTAGCCATTCTAATAATGTAATATTTTGGGTCCGAAACCAGGCCTGTGAATGCTTTGAACGATGTTTTGGGTCGTTGTCCTGCTGGAAAATCCAAACATTTCCATACAACACGTGATCAGATGGAAGTAAATGTCCCTCGAGAATATCTGTGTACCGCTCTCTTTTCATATTCCCTTCAAATACACAGAGGGGCGTTGGCCCTAACACAGATATGCCACCCCACACGTTTAATTTTGGACTGTACTTTGGGCGCTGATACAAAGGTTTTTCAGTTTGTTTGGGCCAGAATTTCAGTGTATTAGGAAACAGCCACACAGAACTTTAGAAAATCACATTGTCCCAGTTAAAATTTCTATGCTGTAAGCACCAGTTCAACCTTTGCTCCTTTTGTTCAGGTTTCATGATCGGTGGTGGAATTCCTCGACTTTTCTGCCAACCCATTGCATGCAGCTCAGTTCTAATTGTCTCCTTACAGACAGCCACAGTTCCTCTATCAATCATATCCAGCCTTAAGTTTTCTAAAATCCATCGTTTGTTTTTAGAAACAAGAATACCAAGCCGCCTCCTGTCACCGACAGTCATTTTTCTGGGCCTACCTGCGCCTCCCTAGTGATCAATGCCATATCCATTTGAAATATTTTTCAAAACACGATAAACAGTTGACAACGGGATGCCTGTTCTACTTGAAATCACTTTAGCTGATCTGATCTCCTTGTTATAATATTGTAAAATCAACTTTCTCTTCTCTAAATCTGCCATACTGAGGATCACTGAACATGTCGTCTGCTAGCAAGTAAACACAGGGAGATAACTCTTCACAAACTAATGAAAACGGATTAGCGGAGTTGTCTCTCTTGAATGAAACCAAACACTTGATAACCGGTCAAGGTTGTTTATACTAGAAACCCAATTAAACATATTCCTAAAATTCTCAATACCTTCTGGTCATACTATATAATTTTGTCATGTTGTTGGATCACACTTTTGTATTGTTTGGAGTGTTTTAATTGAACTTGTAATGTCGTTTCCTTCACTTCACGAAATCATTGTTCTAATATATATGACAATCAAACTGCATTAACGTACCAGACACGATTTTCCACAACAATAGGTGTGTTTCTTAATATATAATCCTAGCAAAACTCGTAACGTTATGCTTTTGAAGATAACTGATGATCCAAATATGTTAAGTTTTCAACAGAAGCCTCTGACTGAGTTACTTAATGCCGTGGGGACAGTGGTGTAGCCAAGTGGTTAAAGCGATCGCTCGTCACGCCGAATTCCCCAATGTGTGAAGCCCATTTCTGGTGTTCCCCGCTGTCATATTAGTGGAATATTACTAAAATTGCCGTAAAACCATATTCACCCACTCACTCACAGAGTAATGTCGTGTCATAACTATTCCGGTCTTCAAACCGCTCACCTGTAACGAAGTGAACATCAAACAGCTGACCACCACCGGGAACTACCTCTTGTATCGGACCGTCTTCCGCATGTGTTGACCCTGTGGACGTCATCGTGTCCACGTCATCGTACAACCTTGACCTACATGATCGTACAGTAATTCATACATGTACTGCTCCATATATGTGTTAAATGTTTGAGGATTCGCCGCTCGAGTTAAGGCCACATAAAAGATATTCTTGTTTCTCATAACATTTTCAAAAGAATATGGGGCGGGCGGGCGGATTTTTTTTTACATTTTATTTATTTTATGTCCCAAACACCTTGATATCTGTGGAAATTTAGACCTTTCCTCCGATAGAAAATCAAAACTTAGAAGTGTGAAAATTTCGTGCACATTTTGAGAGTCAAATTTGCATTTTCTCTTGTGTAAATGTTTTTAAAAAATCTTAGGGTCAGTTCGAATTTTTGGACCCTGCGGTAATGAGAAACGCAATATATTTATATATGGCCTGTGGAGAATGACAATTTGTGGAACACGAGATGAACAGTAGTGCTGAAGTGATTGATCGAATAATCTCTCTTGCGTCAGCGATTATCGATGGGCTGTGGGGACTATTCGAAATTCATAAAAAACGAAACATCAAATTCAACTTTAATAGTATGTTTGTTAGTTTTACGTTTGTTAAGTCAAAACATAAACAGCTGGTACAATTTCCTGACTGATGAAACTGCAATGTAAACAACACACTCATGTGCGTGTCTCAACAGTAAATGTTCCCGCTCGTCTTGTCTTGATCGTGGAAATAATCGGTGCCTTTCCCTTTTGCACAATAGGTTTTTGATCTGCACAATACAAGTGATAACCAACACTATAGTCTGTTTGCAGTGAAAACGTACAGATGAATTTCACTTTAAACAAAAACGTAAATCAAATAAAGTGAAATTAGAAGTACGAATCCTCATGATTTGACCTTGCCAATTGAACATATAAATCTCAGAATTTTATTCAACTTAGGATAAAATCTGTTTAACAAACCATCATAGTTACAAATCGCTATTATTGGTTTGTATTACAAGGGGGTATGCACTTTAAATGAAACATCGAGAACAAGTAGGGCTGGTGTAAGTTAACGCTCATCACGTACCGCATGTACATTTGTTTCATTGTTCCATCTACTGCGCTCACCCCCTTGTAATACAAACCAATAATAGCGATTTGAATCTATGATCGTGTGATAAACAACTCTTATCCTAAGTTGAATATAATTCTGAAATTTATATGTTTAATTCGCAATCTTAATTTCACTTTATTTGATTTACTTTTTTGTATAAAATGAAATTCATCGGTACGTTTTCACTGCAAACAGACTATAATGAACATTAATTTTGCAATGGGTAACAAGAAATAAGCTCTAACGCTCCGGATAACAACAGTAACAAGTTATTGAGCTGTAGATGCACTGTAGGGTTGATAAGATTCACTCGCATATTCGGTAAATCGAACTTTTCCCTTCATAACTTCAATTCGTCCACTAGATTCACCATAATCGGATATCCATCTTCTCAAAATGAAAACAATTGCTGAAATATGGGTGTTATTTAATATCTACCTAAACGAGTTGTGACGAGTAGGTAACAAGACTGAGTATCTGACATTTCAGATAAAGCGTGTAACGATTCACTGAACCATCAATCACCGAAACGTCCCACTAGGAAACAAGACTGAGGATGTAACATTCGAGATAAAGCGTGTAACGATTCACTGAACCATCGATCACCGAAACCCTCCACTAGGTAACAAGATGGACGATGTAACACTCGAGATAAAGCGTGTAACGATTCACTGAACCATCGCTCACCAAAACGCTCCACTAGGTAACAAGATGGACGATGTAACACTCGAGATAAGGGGTGTAACGATTCACTGAACCATCGATCACCGAAACGCTCCACTAGGTAACAAGATGGACGATGTAACACTTGAGATAAAGCGTGTAACGATTCACTGAACCATCGATCACCAAAATGCTCCACTAGGTAACAAGATGGACGATGTAACACTCGAGATAAGGCGTGAAACGATTAACTGAACCATCGATCACTGAAACTGTCCACTAGGTAACAAGACTGAGGATCAAACACTCGAGATAAGGCGTGCAACGATTAACTGAACTATCGATCACTGAAACTTTCCACTAGGTAACAAGATTGAGGATCCTACACTCGAGATAAGGGGTGTAACTGAACTATCGATCACTGAAACTTTGCACTAGGTAACAAGATGGACGATGTAACCCTCGCGATAAAGCGTGTAACTCTCACTGAACCATCGATCACCAAAACGTCCCACTAGATAACAAGATAGACGATGTAACACTCGAGATAAAGCGTGTAACGATTCACTGAACTATCGATCACCGAAACGTCCCACTAGGTACCAAAATGGACGATGTAACACTTGAGATAAGGCGTGAAACGATTAACCAAACCATCGATCACTGAAACTGTCCACTAGGTAACAAGACTGAGGATCAAACACTCGAGATAAGGCGTTTAACGATTAACTGAACTATCGATCACTGAAACTTTCCACTAGGTAACAAGATTGAGGATCCTACACTCGAGAAAAGGGGTGTAACGATTCACTGAACCATCGATCACCGAAACGCTCCACTAGTTAACAAGACTGAGGATGGAACACTTGAGATAGAGCCCACTAGGTACCAAGATGGACGATGTAACACTCGAAATAAGGCGTGAAACGATTAACTGAACTATCGATCACTGAAACTTTCAAGTAGGTAACAAGATTGAGGATCTAACACTCGAGATAAGTATCGACATACTGTAATGCACTTCCAGTTATATCCATTGCAACTCATGCCATGAAATACAAACAGAAAAAACAGTTCGTTATATCTGCCAGTTCGTCATAAACATAGTTTACTGCAGATGGCAATCTTATTTCAGATCCGTGAAGGCCCGGGTTAGAATTGGTCTTCAGCAACCCATGCTTGTCGTAAGAGGCGACTGACGGGATCGGGTGGTCAGGCTCGCTGACTGGGTTGACACATGTCATCGTATCCCATTTGCGCCGATCGATGCTCATGCTGTTGATCACTGGATTGTCTGGTCCAGACTCGATTAGTTACAGACCGCCGCCATATAGCTGGAATATTGCTGAGTGCGGCGTAAAACTAAACTCAACCGGGTGGGTTGTTTTATAGAGCTACACCTCGGAAAATATCGCATCACAGAAAAATTTCTCCCAAACAATATGAGTTTGAATATAAGAATCTGTAGATGTTAACCAATCAATCAGAACGTTTCCAAATTACACCTGAAGATCAGCGAAACTGGTACCAGTAGTGCCTCTTGTTGTCAATGTGGATTTATGCAGTTGGATGTATGCAGCATTTCTTTCCATAATTTCTGAATATTATTTTCCACTATCTGGACCCAACATCATTGAGCCAAGTCAGCCGATTGCCATGCAGTTTGGCTTGGCAGTAA